CATATATATATATATATATATATATATATATATATATATATATATATATAAGGGTTGAATCAAGGGAGAACTCGAATTTATGATAAATGTGAGATCCAATTTCAACCATACATTATTAATAGTCAGTCATTATTATTAAACATAATAATTTTGGTAATTATTAATTAATTTTCAAATAATTTAAATTTACTGATAATATACAGGGGTAAATTAGTTTTTTTTAAAATCTCTTTCCTCTCTTCCCCTCTATCCCCATCCAAAAATTTCTAACAGTAAAACACAACAAATATGATACATGTTGTGATACCCAATAATTTATAACAATAAGACACAAAATCAATTGTGATACATATTGTGATAATGTTTTGAACATGGAATGATAACAGATGTGATCTGAGTTTTAAGCTACCGACAACCACAATGTGATACATGACTGTGATACAATTTTGTTGAGATAATTAAGGAAACCGAATTATTGATAATTAAGGAAACCGAATTTGATAACTATTAAATAAGACAAATATTTAAATTATAATCAATCATTTTACTAAAACACTATTTACCTATTAATTAAGGTAATGCAATTAATATTGTAAAATGATTGACTCATATTGGATCTCACAGTTACCACAATTTAATTAGTTTTTATTTGATTAGACCATTATTAAAATTGTGAGATTCAATATCAACTACAAATCAATAGATAAATTAGGAAACTAATGTTTTTGGTAATTTGACTTAAAACTATAATTAAAGGGTATTTTAGGTATTTAAATATCTTTATCTCCTCTCTCTCTCTCTCTCTCTCTCTCTCTCTCTCCTACCTCTGGCCTCCGACAAACGCCATGTGATAAAAATACACCAAGATACACAATATGATACCTAAAATACATATAATGTGATATCCAAAACACATCAAGTAAAACGTTGAGACTTTGTGATACCAATTGTGGTACCACTGTCACAGGTGGATGTTTAGTGGTTGATCATCAAATATGGCGTCTTGGCTAGACAAGATGACCAGAGGAGGTCACCGGAGTGATGGTGGGTGCCGGAGAAGGCCACCGGATTTGGTCCCTGTGTATCCGTGTGTGTATGTGTATATATACATATATTAAAATAATGAAACTAATTAAAGTAAAGTGGAATATTAAACTAATTAAAGTAAATTGAATAATTAATACAACTAATTTACCCTTTGTTTTATTTTAGTAAATAAAATTAATTATTTAAAATGATTGGCTCATATTGGACCTTACAGTTATCACAAACTATTCAGTTCTCATTTGATTAGGCTGTTATATTCAAAGGAAAATTGATTAGTTTGTGGTAACCGTGAGATACAATATGAACTACTCGTTTAAGATATTTAAGAATATTTCTCAAACAAGCTAAAAGAGTAATATAGTAATTCTATTTTTGATAACTAATCAAAATATTTAATTAATTTTTTTAGAAGATAATATTTAATCAAAATTAGTTACCTAGTATATCAATTACCTAATATACATCGTATTTTGAAGACGTTTGTGAATCAAAGTGTATTATAGTGATAACGTTGACAATGTTTCACGTGTATCACAATGTATTTTATTTGTTTTATGAAATGTATCACATTGTGCATCTTGTATGTATATCTGGGTATCACAATGAATATCGTTTGTAGATATCACAATGTGTATTTTGTGTTCACATAAGATTTATCAGAATAAGATTCGTCGGATAGAGGAAATATGAGAGATGAGAGAGTATATTCATAAAATTCCTAAAATGCCCTTAATTAATATTTTAAGTTAAAATTACCAAAATTATTAATTTTTTAATTTAACATTTGATTTATGGTTGAGATTAAATGTCATGATTACCACAAACAAAACATTTCTCATTTGATTAGACCTCTACCTACCAAATTTAAAAACATTTCATACGACAACGACTATCTCCAATGACTTTTCCAACATCATTTTCGGTGACCATCTCTTGTGACAGTTTCACCCCACCCTCTTTTGATTCAAATTACATGAGAATATTCACCTCGAAGAATTAAAAATGTAACCGATTTTTGTCTTTTCGTAAAATGGAGGTGTTCTTGTTTGAACCTCCACCTATATATATATATATATATATATATATA